CATTCCTTGCAAATTCCCTATATAAGTATATTTTAATAGTATAGCAAAGCTAAAATAACAGCTAAGTTAATGTAACTGAATTTTGTGTGTTGACCATGTTTCATGTCGACTGAGTTCCAGCCTTAAATGAACTTTAGTAAAAGAATTTGTAATCTTTATTAATCTTCAGTTAAGGCAATCCAATACAAAGCATTTCACAACCCACCGTTATGACAACAATCATGTACAGTATAGTTCATTTGAAGAAAAAAAAACATGCCAGTGAAAGTAATGATAAAAAAAATGAGTAAAACCAACAAATGATTTCTGAACAAACGCATATAGTTAGTAAAAGCTTAAAAAGAAACAGTAACTGTGACATGCTGTGCAGATGCCAGTTCCCAAATTGAACAAATCACAAAAAAATCTACAAAAAAATCACAGTTCGCTAAACCTGCTGTTATATTTGGCACCTACATGCACAATTAATCTTCTGATTCTCTACAGTATGTTACACTGAATGTCCACACATCTCAATGCATCCATACATCTCCTGTCTGATGAGCTGACTGTGCTGGAAGAAATATTGGCGCCATTGTTTGGGGTGAAATCAAAAGCTTTGTCTCACATTTCAGGCAAAATGAAAAATAATAAAAGTTTTCAGAATATAAGCATCACCTCAAAAGGGATCATATACAGATGTACAGTTGTTAAGGAATGACATCTTTGTAATAAAGTGCTTCCTTAGAAGAAATTCTAATTAATAAAAGCACACATTTCCAATGACGACTGTAGGTCCATGCCACATAAATAGAGACAGAGAGCGAGAGTGAAGAGATAGACATTTAGATCATCACCTCATCCTTACTTTCATTTTTATCTACATTGTGTTGCCATTTTATTAGACACCTACCTTGTACTTGTACACTCATTGGCCATTTTATCAGAAACACCACAATTTATCAGGCCCCCTCTACCCCATCTATCAGTGGAACAGGACCATCAAAGACCAGTTATTATTTGAATAGTGGAACATTCTCCATACAGCAATAACACTGACTAATAGTAGCACGTTATTGCGTGTGTGTTGCACTCACAGCTGTTTTTAAAGTCCTCAGGGCTGAAAATAGTCTGCCAACCAAAATATCCAGCTGTTAGTGGCCATACAAGTTAATTGTTTCTTATACAGTAAGTAGTAAGTTTACACAGTGTTTAAAGACACAGCTCCACCACTTGACAAATTCATACCAGCTCAACACAAATCCATGCCATGTGTCATTATTATGCTAAGAATGGTCCACCGCCCAATAAAATCAGGTCAGCTATGGTCAAGATTGCAGTTAGTAACAGTAAACCAACATGCTTAGAAAAAATGTACCTTTCAGGGTACAAACACTGGCACTGGGGTACACCTTTAGTATCTTTAGTTAGATAACATAAGTGTATCATATTCCACTGCTGTTATGTTTTTTAAGTAAAAAAGTGCATTGACTCTATACACCTGTCTTTACTCCAGGCTCTTCATTTTATTGTTCTTATTTAGAAAAGTTAAAGCCTCACTATGTAAAATCTGGGGATTTGGAGACCTCTCTGGTGGAAGTGTGTAATTGCATGCAAAGTGCAGAAGAACACTTGGTTACATCAGTTGTGCTTAAAACCCCTTTTCTGGAGCAGATGAACCTCATGATTACAAGCGTGTGGAGTATTTAAAGAGAACTCTTTGCCTGAGGTATGTTGTTTGTACCCTAGGTGACTAACGCTCTGTTCACATTTGGTATTAACATCCCACCTCAAGTGATCTGATCATCAGCAAAGAGCGAGATGTGTACCTGGCATTTCCATGTGTCTTGAATGCGTCTCCAGTGATTGGATTTTGTGACTGGAAGAAGCTAGGGTGCCACCCATTTGCATCTGTCTCTCGCTGCGTTAGTCCGTGTTTGGTAAGTGAAAGGGCTCTTACAAATGTTTAGATCACATAAACTGCCAATGCGACTTGTAAACAAACAGTAGAGGAGGTGAAAACTGAAGCTACACAGCTGCTTTCATCTCTGCTATGTTTAGACCAATGTTATGTGGTCATAAGCGTCACTAACCACATGCAAAGAAGACTTTGTCTCCAAGACACATTGTACCCCGTCCACACCTGCACTTAGCACTGTCAACTTTTGATTGGATCACCCAGGACGCATATTAATGCCAAGTGTAAACAGGGCCTAAAATTTACCTGGACAGTACCCCTTTTTGTGTACTAAGAGTGTACAAAGTGCTACTGTATAGTAAGTGTTTCTGTTAAAATGGCCAAAGAGTGTAGGTACAAGGTATGTCTAATATACTGGAAACTCAGTGTATATACCTTTTATGAATAGCACAACACCACCTCCACATATGTGAAGAGAAATAAATAAACAGAGCCTTTTATGCAGTATTCAACCTTGTTCATGTTCTTTGAGAATCACATGGTATGTTTATGATCATGCAGCAGTGACGTACATATGTATGCCAGTATTCGAAAACCTTGAGAAGGTTAGATGTGTTATACACTATGGAGTAAAATTTCCTTTGTGTTCTGCTGTAGATGAACCTCGCATTGCACCATCTCTGCTCCGCTGCGGTTTGGTACAACCGAGTTCTATCTGATCCAGCTCACACAATGGCTTCTCTGCGACTATAAAAGAAACTGATGTCATGGACTGGGTAAATTATAATGAGCCAATGGACTGATTAATGGTTTGAATGAAGGTGGTAACTGAATAAATGAGATCCTTTACAAAGATCTGGAAATTATTTCACATCATCTCCACTGGTGTTCAGGGTGACCTGTAGGCCTTCTTTGGAGGTAGGCCTATCACAGATACTGCATGATCAACTGATTGCTATCCGCTCAAATAATTGCAATCATTTTCCGCAGTTGCTGACTTATATTTTTCAGCCTTTGCTTTCACAATCATATGATTGCATCACAAACAGTGTGTTTTCATTACTTGGTCGAGGCAAATGCATTTATTGGGACACACTGAGTCATGCATCATGGGCAAAAAACTCCAAAAATATGTAACTATAAGGGTCCTATAACACCTTTGGAGGGCTTTCATGATCATGACAGGCCTATTTGGATGAATTAGCTGTGTATTTATTGGAAAAACAGGTTTTAACTGTGATCTTGGAAATATAGTGCACCATCTAGAAACTATAATGTCTTCGTACCTTTCACTTTATAAATGATATATATTTTTAAAACATTTCCCTTATACATGGCATTTAAATTTAAACGTAGAAAACGCTAACAGGCTAAATGCCTCTTCAAGATCTACTGAAGACCTGCTAAACTTCTTCTTGGAATGTTTCTTGTGAAATAGATATGCATAGTTGAGTTCAGTTGCCATCACTGGTGGGAGTGGAATCTATTTATCATACATTATATGTCCAAAAGTTCGCTCATCCAGGGGTATTAATAAGGAGTTTGTCCCCCCTCTGCTACTGTAACAGCCTCTACTCTTCTGGGAAGGCTTTACCCTAGATGGTCGACCATTGCTATGAGGATTTGATTGCATTCAGCCACAAGCGCTTTAGTGAGGTCAGATACTGATGTTGGATGATTAGTTCTGGATCACAAAAGCCGCTCCGACTCATCCCAGAGATATTGGATGGAACTCAATCGTTTCAGAGAACGCAGTTTCACAGCTCAGTGCTACTTAAATGGGTGCACCTTAGAGCTGAATTGATTAATACTGGTTATTTTTGGACACACCATGTAACAATTGTCTGGCTAGCCATTATAACAGAATGCTTTTATATGAAAGGTGTTAATAGTCTGAGGCCAAATTTGCGTCATTGTATCATAACCTGAAATGCATAATGTAATTTCAGAAAAGTAATGCAGGAACATTAGTACATGGCAGATAAAATCACATGCACGTCCAGTTTGAGAAAATTATGAAATGATATAAGAGCCAACTCTGAACCACACACTTGCAAAAGAACAGCAATTAAAAAGTACGCAGCACACACGATACAGATATTTCAGGACTGTGTGAGGTGACACAGAAGTGAAAGAATCTTAACATAAAGCTGCTACATTTGCATTTATCTATGCAAATCAGAGTCAGATGTACGAAATCCAGAAAATGTGTTTTGGTTTGGAGAGACTTAATTGGATGGTCAAACAACAGAGGAAACACAATTATGCTCTGCTGAATTTTGTGTTTGTGTTTTAATTATCCCACAATTAACCATCTGCTTCATTGTTATGGTGACTCATCGCTGCAGCGTTATTGTGAGCTCAGCCGTATGGGTCACTGGAAATGCCACATCTAAGTCGGCCATGACTCACTGGACCTGTCGAGAATGAAACACTGCCCTAAAACCATTTTTGGAGCCAGGATAAACCTCAAATCAGCCTGAACCGTATTTCAGTTTGCTCTACAGGCATGTCCATGCAGTAGAAAACTGGGAACATCTGGACTGCACTGACAACATCTGGGCTGACTTGAACAGTTCTGACCAAAAACACTGATCAAGCATAACTGGAATCTGTCAGTAACAACATTTAGGATGCCACTCATCTATTGCGATCCTTGCAGAATAGAAAAGGATAGACTTAGGCCCAATCCCATTTCTTATTTTTAACCCTATCCCTTGTTTTCGAGCATCACCTTGCCCCTTGGAACTGAGCCAGAGCAGGTAGTGGTTGAAATCCTCCCCTACAAAATGTGACAACCCTCAATTAAAAAAGAACATTATTAACTCTACCAGTCTGCAGTGATAGTAGAGGAGGGTAAAGTTCAGCAACCTCGCTGCTGGGCTTTAGTTAAATTTAGGGAATCATATGCCTTCAAAGAGGGGGTATGCGACAATTATTTATTATTGATCACCCCTAATTCTTCAGTGATATTCGCCAGCTTCTTGTTCGAATTTTCCCATTCCACCTTAAATGGTGCAGCAGTGCTGACGCCTGAGGTTCCATTTAAGGTGGAATGGGAAATTTAGCTAGCTACTGAGACATCAGCATGCCACTATCGATTTGTTTTTATGCTTGCTATGAAGAAAAGGACCAAAATGCATTGAAACGACCATGAACTAAGATAATACAATGGTTATCATAATTTTTAGTGAAGAAAATACTCTTATATACTTTGGTTGCTTGTGGAGCCATCTTGCTGTTTTTTTTTTTCTCATAAGACTCTGTTTAGAGTGAGCCTCTGAAAAAACTCCATTTTGAGGGCCATTTAGCCCTAACACTTCACCCTACCCCTATATCTCAAGAAAAATCGAGACACCCTAACCCTAGGCATGAACGCGCAAAACGGAGAAGTTAGGGCTAAGTGGTAGGGTCAAGGGGTGAAATGGGATTGGGCCTTAGAGATGCTGGCAGTTACAATGACTGCTAAGTCTTGTAAAAAATGGCAGAAGTGACCATTTATCTTAGCACTGTTGACATGTTGGAGTCGTGTAATAATTTCAGGGATCGTCTTTTTACAGCAGTAAAAGGAGGGTCTAGTTTCTTGAAAACTGTAATGTTCGCTGATCATATAATTCCCAAACCTTTTCACAGCTGAGCTTCTTAACTGCTCAGAATAACAGTAATCTTTGCATTGCATGCCTATTTTTTGATGGACTAGCATATACACCAGCATTCAAAAGTTTGGACTCACCTGTCATGCTAATAATTGCTGTAATCTTATTCAATAATAACTTATACAGTGTAAATGTGGTACTTGTTGGATGGGGCCATCTATTTATAGTAATTTCTTAATCAATTACGCGCCTTGAGATGTGGTGACTATGTATCGAATACAATCTGTTCTGGATGTTAATTTTATTTTGACCTCATTCTCAGTGTTATACAACATTCTCAACCATCTGGAATCATCTACAGCTCTGTTCATCACTCAGACACATCTAAACTTTCTTCATTGTTTACATCTTCCTGCTAATTAGTTGAAATCTGTGAAGTTACAGAGTGGTAGCATCATCATAGAATCATTTTATACATTTATCAACTATATGTATTTTATTTTATTGAAACCATTGATCTCAAACTTTTAAATTGTGATTCCAAACTTTTGAACGCTTGTATATGCATAAATAGAAAAGCTAAACCTCTTGGCTATCAGATCGTGGCTCCTTTCAACATGCTTTCATGAAAATGAATGGCTTCAGACAGACAAGAATGAAGATCAAATGAACGTAAGATCTGAAAAGCAACGTTTAACACAAGTGTTGTGCAGAAATGACAAATCAAATGCACACAAACAACGTCTCGCTCTAAAATAAACACCATTGAGAAAGGTATCTAAAAACGTCACCTGAATGCACATACGCGCTAATACACCAACGCGGAGCAAGGTCAAAAGGTCAGAGCACAGCACACTTGTCCTGGTACATTGAGACGACCACAGACAGGCACGAGCTGAGACCACAAACACAGTCGTCCTCTTCCTCTTTCTTCCTCCTCCTCCTCCTCCTCCTCTCCTTTGCTTCTCAACTCATCGCCCCCAAAAAGAACTGAGAACAGTCACAGGCCAAGATTTTTTTCCTTTTGACAAAAAACGACAAAACCTGTACTCAAGTCCGATTGTGGCGAATTCCCGGCATGAAAACAGGCAGGAAAATGTACAAACGTACGAAAAAGCACGAACAGAAATGCCTCGGCACTTAATAGTGTCCTGAAGAGTCCGAACACATGTTAGCGCAGGGAGCCACGATTCTCCGCTGCTCCATCAGGCCTGTCCCAGAATTCTAAGGGAGGCTGATGTCATCTCCAGCGAGCCCTCAGAGGAGCATGGTCTCAGATCTGTGTGTGGTGTGTGTGTCCTGGGGGTGTGTAGGGAGGGGGCGCGGGGTTGGGTTTAATGCCCCGGCTCTTCATGTAGGAGATGAACTGGTCAGGGATTTCAGCCAGGACGTCTTTGGCCAGCCGTGCCATGCTTAACACGTGGTTCCCCGTCCGGTCCATGTAATCGCGGAACGGCACGAACTGCAAAAGCCAAGAGGTGTTTGTTCATTTGTTAGTTCAATCATTTGTTCTTACGTTTATTTCATGAAACCATTTGTTTGCCAGCAGCAACAATAATCACCTTAGATACTGGACCTACTTGAAGGAATTCTCCAGCATGTTTCAACCATAATCATTACACATTTACATTCAGTTAAACAGAGTACAGTTAACACACAGGCATAACATTATGACCACCTCCTTGTTTCTACGCTCATTGTCTATTTTATCAGCTCCACTTACTATATAGGTGCACTTTGTAGTTCTACAATTACAGACTGTAGTCCATCTGTTTCTCTGCATGCTTTGTTAGCCCCCTTTTACCTTGTTCTTCAGTGGTCAGGACCCCCATGGACCCTCACAGAGCAGGTACTATTTGGGTGGTGGATCATTCTCAGCACTGCAGTGACACTGACATGTTGGTGGTGTGTTAGTGTGTGTTGTGCTGGTACGAGTGGATCAGACACAGCACTGCTGCTGGAGTTTTTAAACACCTCAGTGTCACTGCTGGACTGAGAATAGTCCACCAACCAAAAATATCCAGCCAACAGCTTCCTGTGGGCAGCGTCCTGTGACCACTGATGAAGGACTAGAGGATGACCAACACAAACTGTGCAGCAGCAGATGAGCTGTCGTCTCTGACTTTACATCTACAAGGTAGACTGACAAGATAGGAGTGTCTAATAGAGTGGACTGTGAGTGGACACAGTGTTTAAAAACTCCAGCAACACTGGATCCACTCAGACCAGCACAACACACACTAACATGCCACCACCACGTCAGTGTTACTGCAGTGCTGAGAATGATCCACCACCCAAATAGCACCTGCTCTGTGAGGGTCCATAGGGGTCCTGACCACTGAAGAACAGGGTAAAGGGAGGCTAACAGAGTTTGCAGAGAAACAGATGGACTACAGTCTGTAACTGTAGAACTACAAAGTGCACCTATATATTAAGTGGAGCTGATAAAATGGACAATGAGTGTAGAAACAAGGAGGTGGTCAAAATGTTATACCTGATCAGTGTATATGGACATGAGATGCAATTTCTGATGCAAGAAAACTAAAAAAATAAATAAAAATTATGTATTATTATTATTATTATTATTAGTAGTAGTAGTAGTATGCCTTTTTACAGGTTTGGGTGCACAGCTACAGTCAGTAGCTTGTTTGAGCTACCCTGGTCAAATTCTACACTCTTAAAAAAGATTGTTCTTCAAGGGTTCTTTATTAAAGAAAATGGTTTTACATAGAACCATGGACATTCAAAGAATCATTTGCATGATCAAACTATTGTTGCAGACTAGACATAGTAACCCTTTTTGAAAAGGGTTCTATATAGCACCAATTAAGGTTCTTTAATTGTTACAATGTCTAGTCTTTCACAATAGAAGAATCCTTTTTGGTGCTATATATAACCATATATAACCATTTTCTACAGCACATTCTCCATCAATCTGAAGAACCATATAACGATATAAAAAACTCTTTAATCATGCAAAGAAGTTCTTTGAGGGTCCATGGTTCTACATAGAACCATTTTCTTTACTAAAGAACTCTTGAAGAACCATCTTTTTAAAAGTGTATGTTTTGTTGATTTTGTAAGTGAAAAGTACACATCCTCTACAGAAAACACACTTCAGCACATTTTAATGCACAGTTACTATTTATTTGCTGACTCTAACAAATTGGGGGAAAACATGAAATGTGGCCTGTACAAAAGTTATGGCACATTTTATGTTTTATGTTTTCCCAATATATTAAAACTCAGCACATAAACAGACATTTTTGCATTTTGCATTTGCAGAAAAATGCCATGTTCAAGTTTGTTCCCTGTAGATGATGGGTTATTTTCTTCTGTCTTTATTTTCAAAATCAACAAAACATGTAATTTGACCCCTTTTGCATGTAACTGTAGGACGCAATATGTTCTACAGACATCCCTGTAGTGAGGCTTATATCCACCAACTATCCAACGTCTTTGTAGCGTTAACGTGTGAGAAATAACAATTTAAAGCACATTTGCTGACTTCACATTTAACTGCCCAGCTTACAGCACATGACAGCAGGTAAAGGGTAATTAACCACAGGCCTGCCTTTTACAGCACAAAGCATAGCTGTCTAGGACGAATGGCTGACCACTACGATTTTCTCGTCATTCTTTAACTTTTAGTTTTCTTTAATATGGACTACTTTACTGCTCACTAGCTAGTAGGAGCCTACACTAGGAATGAGCACAGATCAGCTAAGCAGAGTAATGCTGTGTTTACATGTTGTTTAAAAAAGGCTTTGCTCTGTGTTTTATTGCACAGCTTGTTTGAAATGCCATCATTCCCAACAGTGGCCTGCAGCTGTGTAAGCACTGCCATGGTGGTAATTAGTGAAAATTAGTGTTGATCAAAGAAGAGATTTGGCAGTTACTTTTATTTAATTAAGGTGGGAATAAAGGCATGAAGATGCAACCCAAAACCTTTAGGTTCATCCTGTCTTATAAAAACGCAAGACCAATTTCATCCTTTAAGAACTGTGTGTTTCAGTGCCGGTCGTAGGGGCTCGATGGCTGAAGTGGGACAGTGACTTATACCTTCATTAAATGGACCACTGCCCACTCCAGCTGGCATTTCTGAGCTGTTAGGGCTTCAGCAGAAGACTGACAAACGTGTACTACCAAGAGCTAACAAAGGTTCAGATCCCTTGTAAACACCACACATGGTGAGCGAGACTCATACCACACAGTGCAAGCATGTAACATCTTTTTTAGGAGTTTGCACAAAACACTACACTCTAAAATGTGTTAAATAACGACACAACGTCATATTGTTTTCTGATTTAACACATTCTGTGTTAAAAGTATCACAAAATGTGTCGTTTCCCACTGAACACACTGATGTGTCTAGTTAGAGACAGAATGTGTTTCTACACATCCGTTTTATGAGTTTTGTAGATTGAAAGACTAATTAATTCACATTTTCTTTAACTGACCATTTGAAAATTTGCTTAAAGAGTAACTACACCCCACTGTTTTTAGCTCACTCCACTCCTGGCTCAACTTTGAAAAATGATCAAAAATGGAAGGGACATGCTGGGAGGGGCACCACAGTGATGTTCGGGTTTGGAGGTGGGGCTGCGACAGAAACCGGGTGGGCTGGGCTGCTGTGGTTTTAAGTTTAATTAGCTACTAGAAAATATGGAGAGTGACAGAATCAAACTGCACTTTTGCAACTGAGAGGTCTTATGAGATTGGAAACATTTCTCCACTACCATCCCCATCTTTGACGAGGGAAGGTGGTTCTGATCAGGTAGTGCGTCTTGAGCCTTAACAGTATGAGCCACTGACTCAAGCCGCTGAAGGGTTAACGTAGTGCCAGAAAATGATTAGCAGCGAGTGGGAGAGGCGTCGGAATGGTATAACATTCCCTAGAACAGTGACAGCTAGCTTCTAATTATCTGTTCAGCAGGTCCATATTCGATATAACCCGAGTCCTAATTTCTCAGATGCACTGAATCCTGAATGAATAAAGTGGATTTCTTTGAACACTGTCTAAGTTTCATTCAATTTGACATCAAGGTCGCAGACTTCAACACCGGTCAGCCAGGGTTTGCTTACATCTTACATCTAAATTCTTACATTCTGCAAGCTGTTCATTGCACTTACCGGTGTTACATCCAATTCAGTTCCCCCTCAAATGCACATTCCCCTTCATAAACCAAACCCTCGGGCGCACACACTTGCTGAAAAGAAATCAGTGGCAAGCAGCACTGGAATTATGGAAAACGGGAAAAAATTCGAGAAAGACTGTACAGACGAAAGGTTGACACAGTCAGTAACAATGGCCATTTAACATTAACCTTTCCTGAACCGTTTCGCTTTCCGTAGTTCTAGTGTTGCTTGCCGTTGATTTCTGTTCAGTGAGTCGCACCCGAGGGTTTGAGTTGTGAAGGGAAACATGAATCAGATGCAACACCGGCAGCTTTATGGAGACTCGCAAGAATTCTCACTTATTCGGTTCAACATCTTTATTACAAACTAATCTTAGATTAATTGAGTTATTTATCGTTGGTACAGACAGCTGGCATATCGCAGCCTCGGTGGTGCTGAGGGTGTTTAGCTCAGCGCGTGAGTGTGGTTACCTCCTCTTGAGGCTCTTCTGCTTTCATATTTAGTGCGGCACAAGTAGGGCATCATCATGGGGCGGTAATGTTGGTTGACTGATTTGCATACCGTGACGTGTCATCGTACTTTAGTACGAAGACACGTCATCGGCGCCTATAGCAGAGTTGAACCAGAGGGGCACTGCAGAGGCAGAACTGACCACAATACAATAATACTTTACAGTTTGGAAAGATGTTTTCACATTTTAAGCAAGGCTGGTATATTTTATTATTATTCCTTAAAATTTGGAAAACATTTGAAAGGAATCCCCAATATTGCCTTTGTGCAGCAAATAAAGATTAAGTTGAATAACACTGGAGTTTTCCTTTAAGTCAAAAACTTTTTGAAAAAAAGTGGATTATATTCATGATGCTAAAAGGTTGTTTTATCCTAGGTTTCATTATCAGTATTAATGACTCAATTTGCAATTCATTTTTAATGACACAAGCAAACACCTTAGGGCATTTCAGAAATTCACTGGTGATCTACATTAATAATCGCTTAATTGTAAAATGGTTGCAGACCAGCTGCCTAAAAAAAAAAGAGAGAACCCAGATTGGATCAATAATGAAATAACTGGGTAATGGTTGGTTAGATTTGATTAGAGAGAGAGAGAGAGAGAGAGAGAGAGAGAGAGAGCGAGGTTAATGTGACATGATTTTGATCTGAACACAAACAGCAATTAAGGCAATTTCATGCAGAAACCTTTAATTAATCTAATGCGGACTGTGTTTTAGAGCCTTTTTCCTCTCGTAAGGATGATGATTGTCACCTGGACAATGTCCCGTTCTGCTAGCTTCCCTCGTGAGGAGATCCTGATGTCATCACCGTCCAGCTCCACCATAGCTGAGGGAAGAGACAGTTAATACTGAGCAGGCCTATTATTGATAGCCAACTGCATTACTGAAAGGAGAAGTAGCATGTGAAACTCGAACCAATGTAAAACCAGAATTTCAACTAACAAGGTAGAATTTTACACCTTCACTGTACCGACAAATACATCCTCCTCCAAAAAACAGCTTACATAAAGACTAGTTTGCCAGATTTACACAGCTGTCCCCTTAACTAACCCAAATACAGTCCATCAGACCAGACATGTTTGGTATCTGAAGTTTGCTTCATTATTTTTGCACCAGAGCTACAGGGCTAATGTAGCTAACAAGTAATGGAAGCTTATTCTACAACACTTAGCATCATCCAAACTGCATTCATTAAACCCTTCAAAGTCCACATTACTGTATGCAATAACAACGCAAAAAAAAACATCCTTTATATTTTTGACGTGTTTGTCTGTAGCTACATTTCCAGCTTCTTGCACAAATTGCCAATGATAATATGGAAATGCGTGAACAATCTTTTGCGCTTTTTTTCTTTTTTTTGCGATTAATGCTTTACAAAGCGAAGTCACTGTTAAAAATGAACTGTCATATAATTTTTGGTTTGTTGTCAAACACACCTTTTTTTTTAATCATATGTCCATTTCTAATTTTATGATTTTAAAAGATTTATTTCATTTTGCTTTTATTTTATTATATATTTATATTGTTTTCCATCTGAACCATTATGTGAGCGATCATGTTTCTCTGCCATATAGAGCTGCTTGAACACTTTCCATTTAGAGTGGCTGTAGTCTTTTCTAGACATCTCTCTCTGTAATAGCTAAAAAAGAAAGTGGCAGCATTCACTTCAAAAACACTGTCGCTTCCTCCTCAGTCCAGCTAAAGCTCTCCACCACACTGTTTGGGTTTGTTAAAAGAGGCACAGGAGGCACATCTGTCAAAGGACACTAAATTTATGTGTAATACATTCTTTTTCCTGAAACATAATGCATTACAGTGAAGGGAAAAATGTTTTCTTAACATTCATAAAATATTGCCAACAATTTCCATTTGCATAGCCTACGTAAACAAACTGTGTAATACCTCTTGATGTCTAACTGTACGTTCATGCTAGCAGGCGACAGGTGATCAGTCATTTACTATGGCAGTGGGTGATTTGTAGCCACAATTTAGCAACACGGCAGCAGGGCGACAAGCAACAAGTTGTGATTTGAATGTACTGTGGTGTTGTGAAGTGACAATGCAAATGACTGGCTCAAACAAAATTCCTTGGACCAGTTGTAGACATGGGGGTCCGTGGTTTCCAGCCTCTGCTTACACTGGCTACCAGTCTGTTACAGCATAGACTTTAATGACAGAAGTGTATGAAGGGTGCTATAAATGAACTTGCCTTGCCTTGCTGAACTTTATGTTCCTACTAGCATTTTGTTTCTATTTCTAATAGAAGAGATCGAAGAGAAACATAAACTTTCAACCTCAGTTTGTATTTTTAATGCAACATCGATACATACACAGTACATATTTTTACATTTTCTTGTCAGAAGCTGGACTCACGTAACAAGATCGGCCTTAAAGAGACAAACCTGAGGTGACATTAGCAGCTTGGTCTCCTGCTAAAGTGAGGGTTAATTTACTGTGAACACACTTTAAATGAATGCTTCACTGAAAAACATGAAATTTGCACTTGGACGTCTGAATGGATGTCTATTTCACTTTTGTATTGTATTCTATTGTCTTCCTATTGCATTAATCTCATGACTCTGATGCAAAACTAAAGGAGCAAACTGCTCAACTGCATTTTGGGTAAATGTCATTTTATATTAAGTATTTGGTGCAGTCTTTTTTAGCATGGTAGACAATTCTGAAGTTAGAAAGTGCCCTCAATAAATAGCGCTTTAGACTCAGACTCAAGCACGTCTGCTGTTGAGCAGAGTATATGAGTATATTTAAATTATTATGCATGTAACGACAGGTAACTGGAGACACAGAGCCCATTACTGCCTTAATCACTGTTTATTGCTTTGGTGCTTCTACTGGAAGTAATTGGCCCCTAAAATGAAGGAGCTGAATTTTATTACTGACTTTGAACAACAGCCCTTCACCACATAACCTGACTGAATCCAAGAAGGACTCATCCCAACACCGTGTGAGGAAAGCACGTGGTTGTTCTTGCCTTGGGTTTTGTATAGTCCCTCAGTGGGGTAGATAAGAGTGGGCGGTATTGTCTTATTGTTGACCAGAGCCTCCAACTCCATCCACCTCTCCGCTCCTCACATGGACTGGCCACGATGTGGCCCCGACGTGACGGCTTGCGCCCATTAACCGGATGCCACGTGCTAATTACAGCACAGTCCATGATTAGACTGCGCCTTTCCAAAGGATGCTCCGCGTGACCTGCCTTTGCGTGCGTGTACTCTGCTAAAGCAAATGAGCTGGTAATTGCTCTCAAAGCATCCGTCTGGCTAATTGCTAGAAATGAGCGCAGCAGACCTTACCTGTGTTTTAAAATTCAATCATAGAATTATTGATTTGTTTTCCATTCAGAACTTTGGAAGGTTGATTGTTAATGAGGCACGGTTAAAGTAACACACTTCACTCTTCATGCTTTCCCAGACTTTCCTTCACAGAAGGACAAAAGAATAAATGGTTTATGCTCACACACGCTTACCGTCAAATTCAGCCTGGCCCACTCCGACAATGATGATTGACATGGGGAGCTTGGCACCCTGCGGGCGGAAAGGAGTATTTACTTCTTTCGTGACAATAACAATGTTTCACTTCCTTCTTCAAGTGCAAGAAGCAGAGGTCAATGAGTTGAAGAATGCTAAATGGTAAAGCAGTTTAATTTGCGCTACTTGTAAACTGTGGCATACAATGCAGTTCCCCTCATAGCCAAGAGCCTTTTGTGCCTTCTGTTTATTTGCGATTTACATAACCACTCATGCTAGCATAATTCAGTAGTTTAACAATAGCAAAGATAAGGTTAAAAACATTGGCCAAGTTCAGTCAAACCAATAATTCTAACAGACAAAGGATGGATTCACACAGTAATTTTGTACTGCCAAAACTGCTAATTTAAAGGGACACTCCAACCAAAATGAAAAATGGATCTGTTGTAAAAATGACTACTCGTCCTCTACAGTGCTGCCCAGTAGTCTCAGGAGTGAAATTTATCTTCTGATTTAAAAAGTAGATAAACTCCTTTCTGATGATGTATTCTGAAGGTGGGAGGAACTTTTGAAGAATGACACATGCTGTTAAGGTGGATACATGAGGGCTGTTTGAAATGTCCCCCTGCCACCCTCTAACATGAAGCTAGATGGAAGTCAGATGAATATTGTGTGAATATTGTATAAGTATAAGCATTATTATTATTATTATTATTATTATTATTATTGTAACGTGACAGAACCAGCCAGACACTCGCAGTAAAAAACAGGAAATGAGGCTTTACTTGTAAAGGGTTTGGCAACATTTGTAGTGTAAACAGTCGTGGGTCAAATCCAAAAAAGCAAAAAGACAAAAAAGCACAAACATAACAAAGACAACCAGATCCAAAAGGGCGAAGACAAAAAGGCCAACAAAGTCCAAAAATCCAACAAAAGGGTCAAATACATGAATATGGCAAATAGTTGCAAATGGGCAAAGCTCAGTAGCTCTGCAATGAGAAGCAATACCTCGCAACTAACCTAATCTACGCCTGGGCTTAAAAACTAAACTAGGCTGGTCATATGACACATAGAACAAGTGCAAAACATTAGTATTCTTGTGATTGTGAACGGTAATTTGACCATTGAGGAGGTTCTACAGTCATGATCTCCCACGGGATTCTGGGAGTCCATATGTGAGTTGGAGCCAGAGGGATGCGTGACAATTATTATTTTTTTAAATGAAAATTGAAATACTACAAGGTAACGGAAAAAAGATAAGTGATAATAATTATTGTCATATCAAGTAGCATAAAATGCTATTCCGAGGGGTCCTGCCCAATCTGGCAACCCCGACCAGGTTACTGAGACTGTTTAAACATTAGTAGTGAGTGGTGCAGAAGAGCAGAGGAAATAGCATCTTTAAACCACAATGAAAACTGCTTTCTGGTCAGCTCTTGTCAGTGAGTGAAGTGGAGACCATGTTTTACATTCAGAATGACCAGGACTTTTAAGCCACTCAAAAACCACTTTTACCCGAGCGTGTGCTAAACTCTTCAGAAAGAAAGATTCCCGTTGGACTGATAAAAACCAAAGCACATGCTTTCATAAAAATGAGTTACATTTGAGTTGCATGAGTTATGTAATACTTTAATTATTCAAATTGTATTGCATATTCATTGCAGCTGTAGTATTGTAGTGAGAGAACATTGATGAATGAAAATGCAAAGTAGATATAAAATCGTGCATTCTGTCAAACCAATGAGGCTGTGGGGAGTGTATCAACTGCCCCTTCAAATTGCTTGCTCTGTAAGTAGAAGTGGATGGCATAGCCTAAAACTATTATCCAATAAAAGTGTTCTCACTTCAATTGAATACAGTTGAATTGAATAGAGGTAAATTTATAGAAACTACCGAGTTCCCTGGAGAACAACAGCACAACATCTTAGTACATTAGCATTAATCAGCAGAGAATATGAAGCTTGTAAGGCTCTATTCTTCTCTCTCTGGTATTGTTTTGGTCTATAGTTCAAAACTGGAAAGCATGAGCAACATCATGATGAACCAACAGAACTGACTGAAATTACACACAGAAATGGAATTAGGAGCTAAACACGAAGGACTACGGGACTGAGTAAAAAGCAGGTTTGTTTCCTCACATGTACTTTACCATAAGTGTTGTATTAACAATTGAAAATAGACAGAGATGGAAGAGGGAACTGAGTTTATAGAACATTGTTCCTAGAAACATCTGAGAGTTCCCTCAAACCCATAATAGCATATAATTTACAGAGCAACTATCCATAAAACACAGCTCTGTTTAGTTACAGTGCTTTAGTCAGTTGAAAGTCCATTAATTTATTCAGTATTAAACACACAAATTCCTGCTAGGCTTGAGATGACAGATCTCAGGTCCACTCTGATGTCTGTGAGTGATTCAGAAGAGATGGCCATCTCAGGACATGTAAGACAGTTGTGAGTCATCTCTGGGATGAGAGTAAATTGTCTGTCAAAACACCTCTAATCACGCTCCTGAGTGGGGGGTCCTCACTATTCTGGACACGGACAGAAGTGCTGAGTGCTTAATGGAACAGACTGTAACTCGCGGATGACCTGAGTAAAAAAAAAAGAGAAATGTGTTCTGTCGTTCGGAGAGATACTCACTGTTATTGCGTCAGGACAATATTATGATGAGCAAAGGATCTGAATGCCTAAATGAAGCAATTTACAAATAAGCGCAATGTTAAGAACATACAGTATGAGTCAGAAGTTTGGACACACCCAACCTGACTTATGTTTTTCATAATCTTAAAGATATTTTGATCTGAAAGCTTGAATGTCTGAATTTTTTTTCCAACACATTTATAAATAGTGAAGTTGACGCTTATGTGCAGTGTGGGGGTGACGTGTACAAAGTAACATGTTACAGTAATGCCATCACTTTTTCCTGTAACAAAGTAAAGTAACACATCACAGTTTAAACTGTTATCACATTACAGTTACTGACTTCATAAGAATTCTTGTGCTACTCATATAGTCAGAAGTCTGAGAGCACATTGAGAATCTAATATCTTCATTTAAACCTAGAAATATTCTTGAAAAAAGAATTTTGAAAAAAATAAAACGAAGAAAATTTATTCAAGAAAATATTCAAGATTCTGCTCTATTTTTACACTCTTAACAAAGACGGTTCTTCAAGTGTTCTTCAGTAAAGGCAATGGTTCTATTTAGAACCACGAGTTCTATGCAGTTCTAAGTCTGAAAGGATGTGTAGCTGTCAAGAAGCCTTTACTGAGAAAAGGAAATAGTTGGAAAAAAGTGGGAAATTTGCAAATCAAACAAAGAAGCTGCTGGGGTTTTTAGAACAATGAACTGACCACCCCAGTGCCCAGACCTCAACATCATTGAGTGTGTTTGGGATTATTTGGATCGTGAGAAGGAGAAACTGCAACCAACTTCTAAGACTGAACTTTAGAGGCATGAAAAAATATCATTGCATTGCAATGTCACTGTAGACTAAATACTGAAATGGTTAAAAAATGTATTTGCTTAGGCTTCTTTATTATTTTCTGTATGTTTTCTGTTCCCCCTCCCCACCCCATGTCTTTTGGACAGTACTGTAAATAGTCACGAAAGAAGGTTTGAAGTGTAGGCCCAGGTGACGGCCCCTAATGGTTTAAGAAGGTTTTGGGTCACTACATAACTCCATGTTTTGATATACTTTATTATTCTAAAATGTAGAACGTAGTAACTTTTGATGGGTAGTTTATATTGCACCATATCCCATAGCATGTTATTGTTGTTTTTGTACTATTCTACTAATCAGCAGCTAGCATATCTTAGTGGTGTTAAATAGCTGGATAGAGTTCTGGGATGGTACTAGTGGGAGAAGGAGGCAGGGCCTGTGCAATCACCACGACTCCCAGAGCTCTAGCAACCCACCCAGCCTCTCCCACTGTGGGTATCTGAATGAGGTAGAACGAAAATCACTCCCTTATCACGTTAGCATAGAAACATCACCTGAACTGGGAGGTGTGCAGACTCTTTGAACTTCTGCTCTTCATGCAATCCTGCTCCAACATAACTGATTTATTTCAAGATTCATAAGCCTTTATATAACGATCTGTCCTCAGGCTGCGTCCTGTCAGGGAGCTGCTCCGTTTTTTGTTTACCCACTTCATTTTTCCGTCCCGGAACAAAGACGTGAACACAGTCCCCTGACAGGGCGGGTGAAAGTTGTTTCTTCAACACTTCCAAAATATCTGTGAACAACACTCTTTGTGACAGACTGTGTCATGGGTGCGTGTCAGGAGCATCCATGGATAATTGAGCTCCATTGCCCCATTTGTGCCATCATTCCGGCTTTGATTGACAGGATGGATCCGGCATAATGAGAAAACAAAACAGCCTGTCAGTTCACAGTAGTCGCCTTGACGACGGCTGGGAAACAGCTTTTGAATAGCGCATGGACATACATACCCACACATACGCACGAAAAAGATGCATAGAATGAAAAGAAATCCAGGTACATATTGTCATATTGTCACATAAAGTGTCCTATAGTGCAACCTGTTTTTTTTTTCTTTTGTTACATATTCAAATAGCAAGAGCTCAGCTGGTTACGGCAGCCCAGACGGTTTATACGGCATCTTTATTGAGCCAAACAGCTGCACTCGAACATCGAGACTGGTGATTTTGGGTGACAAAGGTATTGTTAGGCGACACAAGATGACTATTGTACACAGAAAAAGCCTACTTTGTGTAGAAAGGCCTCTTTCTGCCTAATTTCTATCCTGTGCCATGTAATTGGGGAGGGAAATACACTGGGCAGACTGTCACTTAGTGCTCTAACTGACAGCTTGGGGCTGAACTAATGATGTTCAAGCTGTAATGAAGGCGAGAGGAAGCAGCAAGAAGCAGAAGTTTGTGCGCCGTGTAGGCGAGGACAGGCGAGAATCTATCATAACTTCAGACAGGAGCTTAAGTCGTTTCCGTTTAGGCTTATCATCAGTCACTGACTGAGTGGGTGGTTTAGTGTGTCTGTTCGATTAATTCTCCCACCCATCACGCTGGCAATG